TTCAAGTTTCTTCAATTTATTCACTGTTCACGCAATTTATTCACTGTTCATGTTTAATTTCAGTGCTAATTAGGTTTAAGTTTCCAGATCTGCAGCAATTTAATTTCTGAATCTGTCAATAGATTGCACTTTTAATTTTACCACAAGCATGTTTAATTTAATTTGGGAACACTTCTTTCTCGCAAGTTTATTTTAAATTACAAGTAATTTAGAATAATTAGGATTTGTTAATTGTAAATCACGGTAGTGTTTAAGTCCTTAGAGTTGTCCAAGGCAGATTTCGTAACCCATTCTGCAGGAAGGTATCCCTCCCTCTTGCAAATCGTCTAAAGGCGCAAATTTCATTTTAATCCAACGTTCTTCCCGCCATCTGCGAAGAGGTCGACCGTGAGGAAGGAGAGGGTCGTTGGGAAAGTCCTCCTTTCTTACTTTCAACAAAGTAAGTGGCACGCCCGCATCAGATTTCACACGTGCGAGGCCACTAGAGGATTTTTGAGGAAACACCATCATTTCAGTAATGGATTGATTTGCATTTGGACAAATGCCTATGGTTTTTTCCATCTGGGTTTTCAAGATAAAAATCTTTGGTTTCCTCTTTATTTTACTTGTTTAGCTTATTCTGTTTCCATGGTTGATTGAGTTATTGATTATATTGATTCTGAGCATTGGAGCTTCAAAATCACAACACCTGACTCGGGCAACAATGAACACACCAACTTAAATTAAAACCTAAAATTACAACTTTCTTCAAATCTCTACATTGTCTTTTCTACATTCCTCTGTGGGTATTTCTTCCCATATCCAACCATGAACGAAATTCCTAACGAATTGTTTCCCAGAATGTAATCCACCTGTATTGATGAAATGCCTGAATCAGGTCATGTTTCCTCAAAAATCCTCTAGTGGCCTCGCACGTGCGAAATCTGGATGCGGGCGTGCCACTTACTTTGCTGAAAGTAAAAAAGGAGGACTTTCCCAACGACCCTCTCCTTCCTCATGGTCGACCTCTTCGCAGATGGCGGGAAGAACGTTGGATTAAAATTGAAATTGCGCCTTCAGACGATTTGCAAGAGGGAGGGATGCCTTCCTGCAGATTGGGTTACGAAATCTGCCTTGGACAACTCCAAGGACTTAAACACTATCGTGACTTAAAATTAACAAATCCTAATTGAACTAAATAACCTGCAATTTAAAGTAAATATGCGAGAAAAAAGCTGTATCCAAACCAAATTAAACATGCTTATGGAAAAATTAAAATACTTTGCACTGGCAGATCTGGAAATTAAAATGCTGCAGAATTAAAGATTTTATCCTAATTACCACTAAAATTGACGTGAACAGTGATTAAAATTACCATGCTTGAGGTTGAAAAGAGGTATGAACACCACATAAGTAATCATTGAATAAAATGCTACTTATCATAAACATTAAATTAATTACAAATGAAAAGAAAACAATACCTTGCATAAACTTGAAGGATTGAAGTTCATTGCATGAAAGGAAATTGTCTAACTGAATACAAGAATTGATTTGTCTACTGGAATGATGAAAAACAACCTAATTCTAATGGAATCTGTGCTGAAATCCGAAATCTGTGCTAAAAATCTGAAATTTGGAAGCATGTGCAGAGAAAATCAAAGTATGAAAATTTGCAGATGTTTGAGTAGGGCTGGCCGTGTCCTTCTCTTCCCAAAATTTCCTTTTTGTTCTTCTTGTGCCGTCAGTTACCTCCACCTTCTGCAGTTACTCAATCATGGGTGATTTTTTAAAGTAGTGGGACACCTCACCTTTTGACCTAGTCTAATCTCCTTACAGATTTCGCCACCTGGACTCTTATCAGATAAAACCCCATTTTTAACTGCAATCTTCTTCTATCTTCCAGCTGCCATTATCTCTTTCTGTTTCAAGAAAATAATTATTCCATAAAACATTATCTTTACCTCTCCTATCTTGCCAACTCATGTGCTGATCTGTCATGGGGCCTAGAATCCAAATCTGACATGGCTTAAACTTCTCCAGCCAATAAAAATTTTACACGTGGCCTTAATTTAAAATTTTGTAATTTATGGTGTAAACAATGCCCCTCAACACTTGATTTTATTAAGATAAATCCAAGTGTTTTAATTAAATAAATTACCTCCCACACCATAATTACTTATGCCACATGTCGAATTCTCTTTAAAGCAACTTCACAAATATCTCCTGGAGCAATTTTCTAGATAAACCCAGCCACTCCTTTTTCAAAATTCAATTAATTCTAAAAATCCAAAAAGATAAAGAAGAGTCAAACTTACTTTTCATTTCTTTTTTTTTTTCTTCTTTGGGTCAATGCCGGCTGCACTCTTCTTTTCTTCTCTCTTTTTTTATTCACCGTTGGCACCCATCTTTTGACTTTTCTTCATTCTTCATAAAATCCCTTAATTTTCAAAAACAAATCCCAAAAATAAAGGACTTTTTGAAAATTAAAGAATTAACTTTACTTTCTCTTCCTCATCTTCACGGGCCAGCCTTATCACTTGCAGCCGACTGTTCCTTCCCATTTTGACCTGCGTTTAACCACCTGCAGCTGCTTCATTTTACATCTCCTTTAACCTTCAAAGTGAGCTCCAGTTATTGCCGGCCCTTTTTCTTCATTTTTTTTTTTATGCTTCCCCAAATCCACTCAAAACAGCAACCCACTTCTTTCAATTTTCCAGATCTATTGCCGGCTGCACTCTCTTCTTTGGCTTGTCCAAATCTGCTCCTATACTCAGTGGTCCCTACTGAAAATCATCCTTCCCACAGGTAATTGTTGGCTGTCCCTTTCATTTTATTTGCAAAGATTTGCTTTGCTTGTGCCTCATGGACCCTACCGGGAATCCTCCTTGTCCAGTTACTGCCGGCTAACTCCTTTCTTTTTTTTTTTTGTTTTGTGTGAGTGCAGATCTGCCTGGCTTGGCTTGTGTCCGGTGGCCCCAGCAAAAATCTTTCTCTTGCCAAAATTATTTTCATGGCCAGTGACCGAGAGATGCCCACCGGATCTGTTTCTGTTTACACCTAAAATAAACCAATAGGGTAAGGCCACATGTCAAGGTAAAGCCCAATTATTAAGAAAATCAATGGGCTGGATTTGGGCTGGGCTGGCTTCCAATTTAACGGCTCAGACGAATTTCCAAGGAGGTTGGATCCTAGGTGGCAGAAGATAAGATGGAATCTGGTAGTTTGGGTTTG